ATTTACAAATGTTTAGAATTGAATGGTGAAGTCCAATTTCACTCAAAATACAAGCTTCAATCTTAATAGATGAGCGTACCCTGTTTCTTGCATAATTTGTACCATATACAAATTTTATTTGAATGCAAAATGGATACAGCCATCAATTTTGAAACTTTCAAAAGTGTAGGAAATGAGCTTGAAATTCCAAAAAATAAGGATAATTGAGCGTGTCAGAATTAATTCAGGAAACACGTCAAAGGCATTATTCAAGATATAGTTTTCATTTTGATGAAAATTCATTGTTGCCATAATTTTATACATGTTTGAAAGTGTAGGAAACAAATTTAAAATGTCAAAAAATAATGAAAATTAAGCTCTGAAAAACAATTGAAAAATATGACTAATTACAGTATCCAGAATGAACCGTTGAGTTTTATGGGAATTGAATTTTACCATTAAATTTTACACACTTTTAAATGTAGGAAACAACTTTAAAATTTCAAAAAAGCATAGAAAATAAGGTACACACATGTATGCAAACAATTAAGTGAAAAAGTGAAGAATTAATTAAAAAAAACGTGTCAAATGCGGCATTCAAGGTATAGTTTTCATTTTGGGGAAAAATAGTTGCTACAATCATTTTCTACATGTCTTAAAGTGTGGGAAATAAATTTAAAATGTCAAAAAATGATGAGAATTAAGCTGTAAAAAATTAAGTGAAAAAATGGGTCTAATTTCAGTATTAAAAATGAACCGTTGAGTTTTAAAAAAATTGGATTGCACCATTAAATTCTACACAAATTGAAACCTAGGAAATAATTTTAAAATTTCAAAAAAGCATAAAAAATAAGGTACATACATGCATGCAAACAATTAATTGAAAAAATGAGTAAGCAGAAAAAAAAAATCAAAGTCATTTTTATGGTAAATGGACTTTACCATTAAATTCTACACCCTTCAAAGTGTAGGAAAAAATTTTAAAAAATCAAAAAAACTCGAAATTAATGGCAAAAAAAAATTAATTAAAAATGCGGGTTTAAAAGCGGAATGCGCGTGTGCTGTGCCGCAGCAAAAGCGCGTCTAAACGCGGAAAATGCGGGTTTTTTTATTAAGGCCCTTTATTTTTCACAAATTTTGAAACTTTATTTTTTGATTTTATAATTTCATATTCATTTTTTGGGACATATTATGCACCACCTGACCAAGTCTCATGATTTCAGATTTGTGTTTTGGAGCTCTGGAATCCAAAATAAGCAGCCACTTTTCACTGTCTAGGCACTGTACATACCAGCTCGCCGGGAGGGGTTCCTTCCGACAAGCTGGTGTACATACCAGCTCGTCGGAAGGGATTCCTTCCGACAAAACCAGCTCGCATACCCTCTCGTCGGGAGGGATTCCTCCCAACAAGAAGGTATTCATCCCAGCTTGTCGGGAGAAATCCCTCCCGGCGAGCTGGTACACAATCCAGCTCGCTGGGAGGGATTCCTCCCAACAAGCTGGTTTCAAAACCAGCCATTTTTTTCTTTCTTTTTTTTAAAAAAAAAAACCAACATCTGTACCCTTCAAAGGGGGCGGATATCCGCGGATACCCTCCAGCGCCAGCGGGTATCTGCCAGCGGATGCGGATGTCAAATTCCGCTGAAATGGTGAGCGGATATCCGGATGCGCCGCACCCATCTCTATGTGTTACACATGTTGTAAACATGTAATAAAAGCTCTAGTATTTCTTCATAAACTTAATATTAAAGTTTATGACAAAAGAACCTTAATTAGATAACTGTAATACCTCTGCTGTGGTGTTTCATGCACCTTGTGGCCCATTTTGGCCTAGGTAGGCCCAATTGATAGCTCTATGCGCCCAGGAAGCATAGCCCAAAGTCACAGAAGGCTGTATAATATATAAAAGGGGCTTCTGAGCGCCTCTTCCCAGCCCACTGAGCACTGTACAGCCTTGTACAATGACCAGTTCCCCTGGCAAACCCAATACAAGGCTGAAACCAGGCCTACAGTAGTATAGTGCCTGGTTAAGAGCACTCACAGGCTGAACTGAAGCCTTTAGAGCGCCCAAAGGGACTGGAAGAAAGCAACGGTGGGCCGCTACACTAACCGTAGCGGTTAGTGTAGTGTAACGCAGCAAAATCGCTGTTAGCGATTAGCGTAGCGTAGCGGAATTCCGCCACAACACCGCTAACGCTACGCGTGTGGGCCGCAAAGAAGGGCCCACTGCGCTGCGCTACAGCGGTTTTTGGCCGCTTTTTTCCGCTAAAAGCGCTGTAGCGCAGCGTAGCGTAGCGAAAAACCGCTAACACTACGGTTTTTGGATGAAAAAAAAGCACCGCTACGCTACGCTTTTTGGGCCAAAAGCGTAGCGGCCCACCGCTGAAGAAAGTAGTGGGTTGAAATTACATCTTAGCTTCAGTGTAATCAGATTTTTACACCAGAACTGTAATCAGGTTGTGCAAATCTACTGTACTTGAGACCCAGCTTCAAACTCTTGATTATAAGTGTGTGTATGTAGCTAAGAGCTGTACATCCAATTTTCAATTGCACCCATGACGTAGTATTGATCAGATGGTATCTACACCTATCCTATCTGTAGAGTGTGTGCTACTGATTCAAAAAATGAGCCAGTGCAGCCCTGGCTTTGTTGTGAGGGATACGTCTTGACATATTGTAAACAAGCGCTCTTGTCCAAACTGCTGGGGGAATCACCCGTATTTGGAAACAATATGGTATGTGTTTGTTTTTCACTCAAAACTGGACCAGGATTTAATTCACTAAAAACAATACCAGTTTTGCCCCAGGAAAAAACGGCAATTTTGGTGGTGGAAAATAGATCAATTTCCCTGAGGCTTTTTTACAAAATGACTCAGGGAGAAAAATTAGGCTAAAATGAGCTATTTTAGCCCAAAAATAAAAATGTCTCAAACATTCCAAAATTGATTTTTAGCTCATTTGAGGCATTTTTATTTTTTGGTTAAAATAGCTCATTTTAGCCTAATTTTTACTCCTGAGTCATTTTGTAAAAAAGCCACAGGCAAGTTGATCTATTTTCCACCACCCAAATGGCAATTTTTTCCTGGGGCAAAACTGGTATTGTTTGTAGTGTAATGGATCTATGTATGAAAAAAATTCATTCAAATGAATGAAAAAAAAATATTGAATTTCATTCCCATGGATTTGGTTTTAATTATAAGAGACTGTAGAGACAGACAAAATGAGGATGTGTCTGGTGAGATTCAAACTCACAACCTCAGCTAAGCTGAGACACATACTAGAGTGCTTCCTTTACCAACTAGGCTACAGACGCTTGTGACAGCCAGTGTAGCTGGGTGGTAGTGCTGATTGGTCAAACCAACAGCTCCAAAATACTGTGGTGATACATCATGGTAGCAGACTATCATAAACCTCAACAGAGACTTCTAAGAACTCAAATTCAATTTTAAAAAAACACCAAGGAATAGTAGTGAAAATGATGTGAAAATAAATGTAAAAAATCAAGAGAGAAGGCTTGTTGCATAGATCAAGTTGTCTTTGTTCATCCCAGATTAAGAGTGGGAGGAGTCAGATTGTTTTTGGATAGGATCCCTGACCAGTTACATCCGTGGTCTGCAAGTGTCAAAGCCTGGAATGCTTGACAGTGACTTGGAACAATTGCAACAATTTCTTTCACTTTTGAGTTACTTTCAGTTGGTGTGCATACTGAGCTTACGTCAACTCTTTTCAAAGAGCTCGCTAGTAGAACTTGTCTTCATAGGCACACTTTTACTGGTCAAGAACATCTTGAAAGAAATGGAAGTTATATTGTTACAGTGTTAGGGTATGGCTAAAACTTTGAGCCAAAGATTCTTAAGCAAAATGGCTCACCAAGCCCTTTGATTGGTTCAAGTCTAAGAGCTTCTGCCATTGTGAGAGCTCTCATAAGCAGATGGGGTTTCAGAAAGAATTTGCAATTTGTTTTTGCTTCAAATTTTCCACAAGTAGTACTTTGTTTCATATTCAAACCAGATTGTCTCAGCTATATACCAGAATTTTAACTCAGCAAAATTTGTTCTGAGAATTTTTTTTGACCAACCAATCAATCAAAAAATCCGTTGAATTTCCCTTTTTCAATTTTTTTTTTCATCCTCACAAACTTTTCTTGAAGCTCTTAATCCAGGACCGCAAACCCCTTTGAGACATCATGAATCAGTGGACAAGGCTTCCAAATCCTCTATGGTGGGATTGGACAGTAATGTTGTTCATTTTGGTGCTGTTTATCCTTATTATTTGGTAGTTTTTGGAAACCCTGTGTAGGATCCCTTTCACTGTGGATCAAGACTCACGTAATGTTGTGAGAATTAGGCTTATGGATCAAGACTCATGTAATGTTGTGAGAATTAGGCTTAGTAATGTAATGTTGCAAGAATTAGGCTAGTAACATGCACATAGCCCCCTTCTTTTGGAAAGGTGGGGGAACACTTGAGTGAACAGGGTTGGTACAGAGACACTTGGTGTGCCCCTGGGGCAAGACACCACCAACTTGTGGGTTGGGACTGATGTTCAGACACTTGTTACAGCTGGGCAGTTCACAAAGTTGATGGTTGATTTCAGTGAGGAAAGGTAATTGGGATCTAGAGCTGAATGAACCTCACTATAACTTGAGTAAATTATACACTATGTAGTTATAAGCATGTAACCTCAACTCAACTTTCTAAAATTCTAAGCTTGAGACACAGGAAAAAATGTTATCATTTGGCAAAATTATCAAGCCAAAGCTCCAGTTGACTGATCCCACAATGTTGTTCAGACATCAAGATTAGGATGGTCTGCAAAAGGAATCTATTGATAAAACATATGTATAACCCTATCAGTATGCTGTTGTTCAACCCTCATGTATCACAGGAGAGCACGGAGAGACCCTGGCTGATTTGTGCATGTGGAGTGGTGGTAGGACGAGGTGGTCAACTCGGAGGACTTGTTGGGCGCGCTCGAGCTCAACACAAGCCTCCGAGGAGGTCGCGCCTCCCCGGAGGATGGTGTTACAAAGTTGGTGTCCGAATTCCCGGTCCACTCGATTGTAGCAACTCTTCTCCAACAATCACACACCGACAGCACGATAACGGCTCCTATTTTAAGGTCTTCTTCGATCGCAGGAATATCGTTGGATTTGTCCGCATCACGACAGCCGATCATCGCTGAAAGATGTCTGAAGGATGGTGTTTGACAGAAGTCAGTTGTTTATTTTAAAGAAAGAAGAGCTTAATGGGTTTTTTTTGACGCTGATATTCTCCACACCGAACCTGACGCTTGCTTGGACCCATTCCAAAACCAAAATCTGTATCATTACTTGATAGTCCGATCCGGCTATCTTCACTATCTTGTTGTCCGAACTGGGCGTCTCTGGATTACAGGTTGAAGAGCTATGGAGTTTGGATAATCAGAGTCTCGAGCAATTGAAGTGAGTTAGCATGCACAACACAAGGCTTTCAACTACTACATGGATACATTTCTCATGACCTCCGATATCTATCCGTTCATATACATCCTTATTGAAAAGACCTTTCTTTTTCTGATTTCATTTTTGAACCTTTCTTTCGATTATGATTGGATTTCAAATAGACCGGTACATGCGTTAATGTCAGTAGGTTCAACTCGATCCGTTTCTATCTGAAAAAGAAAAACGCAAGAATACCAGTTTTTTCTTATCCAACAAACGATTTTGTATTTCAGTTTTCTGTTCAAATATGTAAATTCGGATCAACGAGACCCAAGTAAACAAGCTGGAGAACAACAACCAGCACCGCCAGGGACTTGGTTCGCGCATCAAGTGAGTCCACAAGAAACAATCGTTTTAATTTCCAATTTTCTTTGTGATGAGAAGATTATAAAGGACTAAGAAAGTAATTGATGAAATAACTTTGGGTGGATGATGAAGGTGATTACGAATGCCTGTGCCACCCTGGCCATCCTCAATGCAGTCATGAACATTCCCAGCACGTCTTCCAAGATCCAACTAGGCCAGGAGTTAAGCCAACTGAAGGAATTTTCAGTGGGTAAGTGCATCAGAAAAGAAACCGGCTTCGCATCAATCCCTTCCAAAATACTGATCGAAATCCTGGCTGATCATCCGATAGATCTCGACTCGCAGATGACCGGAGAACTCTTGACTAATTCGGAGAGGATCAGAGCAGGTGTGAAAGATTTGGTCGGTTTCGGAGAGATCGAAGAAAAAAACGTGATAGGAGAAAAAAAAATATACTAATGAGTCACTTTTGGATCCTTCTTTTTCTTCTTTCAGTTCATAATTCGTTCGCACGTCCGGACCCATTCCAACGAGACGAGCCGAAGCAAATGAGCACTGAGGATGCGTATCGTGAGCAGAAATCATTACCCAATCTGAGCCTCTTTCACTCACCCCTTTTTGTTGCAGATTTTATTACGTATCTGCCGCTCCAAGGGAAGTTGTACGAGTTGGACGGGCTCAATGGATTGCCGGTCTTCCATGGGAAAATCCCCGAGGGACAGAGCTGGACGAGCCTTGCTCGCGAAGTGATCCAGAACCGGATCAACACGTATTCTAGCACCGAAGTCAATCCATCTATCTCTTTTCTCCTCCAAACTACAACCCCTTCCCCCCCAAAAAAAGCCCCTCCAAAAAAAAAGAAGAAGCTCACATGAAGATATCACTACTGGATCGAATTTTTGATTAGGTGCATTTCAATTTGATGGCGGTATGTGAAGATCGACTGAATGTGTTAGAAGAAAGGAAGGCGAGTATGACAGTAGATAGTATGGGCTATGAGAACCTGAAGATGGAGATAGAGGCCGAAGAAGCCAAGCGAAAGCGATGGGCGGAAGAAGTGGCCATCAAGCGACACGTCAGTTGCTCCGCTCCTCTTTCCTCTTCCCATCCGAACCCGTCTCAAAGACGTTCGATTTTTTCCCCTAGAATCATATCGGCTTGATACATGCGTTGATGGTCGGGTTGGCCAAACATGGATCCTTGGCCGAGCGGGTCAACCTCGCCAAACAGAAGATGGTCGATCGTCAGAGGAACCGGACTGGCGGACATGAGATGCAATTGGACTGACTTTCTTATAACTTCCTTCCCCCCTCTTTTGCTTTTGGATGGATATGTTGTTCATTACTCTGTGTTTACATACATATGGTCACAACGTCATCGGGATCCGTCGGCATGCATTCGAAGCGTTTGGTGGACTCGCTCGTCATCCTAGAAATCATGTTGTGGACGGGAGAGTTGGAGCTTTAACAGGAACTAGGACACACTCAAAACTTGCTCAATTTAGCCTCTGTTTTTTTAAATAAAAAAAAAATAAAGGGGGATTTTTAGGCTTGAATCAACATAAGTCTCCCCCTCCTTTCTTTTGGTTTGCTTGGAAGGAGAATGCTATGAGACTCTCACTGAATAGGAGAAATATGGATGATAAAAAAAAAGACTCATGAAAAACCGGCGATGGATGGTGATGATGATTCGATGCTTAATGTGGGCCTTTATACCATGGGAATCAATTTTGAAAATTTATCATTTTGTCTGTCTTCCACACAAAAGTTGAAAACCAAGTGTAGAGATGGTCGCGGATAATCCGTTGCGGATATCCGTTATCCGCTGGCGGATACCCGCCAGTGCCAACGGATACCCGCCAGCGGGTGCGGATTCGGGTGCGGATGCCCCCTTCCCCCTGGAATCCTGGCGGATATCCGGGTATCCCAAGGGATATCCGCCCATACAGGAGCCTTGGGAGGGCCACAGGCTGTGAGAAACAAAAGAAAAAATGGAAAAAAGGAAAAATAAAAGAAAAAATGGGGCCTTAACAAAAAAACATGGTTTTTGCTGCGCGCACTGCGCAGCAGACACATTTTTTAATTAATTTTTTACTGCTTGTTTTTTATTATTTTTTGAAATTTTAAATTTATTTCTTATGTTTTAAGGTGCGTAGAATTTAATGGTAAAAAGCATTTTACATAAAAATTAATGGTTCTTTTTGAATAATGCAATTAGACACATTTTTTTAATTAATTCTTGACAGATTGATAATTAATTTTCATTATTTTTTGACATTGTAAATTTTTTCCCTTAATTTATTTTAATTAATTTTGCCAGCTTAATTTCCATCATTTTTTGAAATTTTGAATTTATTTACTACACTTTGAGTAGTGTCAAAGCTTATGGTATCATTTATTTTGACAAGAAATGAAAGCTTCAATCTTAATATATGAGTGTACCCCATTTATTGCATAATTAAATTATACAAATATGATAATTTGTACCGTATACCAGTTTTATTTGTATGCAAAGTTGATATAACCATCCATTTTCAAAAAATAATGAAATTTAATCCTGTAAAAATTTACATGAGTTAGCTGCAAGAAACAAAAAAAATTGCAAAGGAAAAAGGAATTAGATTTTTTCCATATTTTTGGGAGGGTCACAGGCTGTGAGCAACAAAAGGAAAAAATAATAAAAAATAATAAATAAATAAAATAAATAAATAAATAAAAAACAAAAACTTAAAACCCGCTTTGCCAACTGCTCAACAAAAAAAAAATTCAAAAGCAAAAAGAAATATAATTTTTTCCATTTTCCATATTTTTTGGAGGGTCACAGGCTGCAAGCAGCAAAGGAAAAAAAGTTGAAAAAATAAAAATAAATTGAAGGCTTGAAGGCCGCAAGAAATTCAAAATCAGTGTTTATGCAGCTTTCTGCATCTGAAATTTCCCCAAGGAACTTTCATTTTGTAGCCTGGGTGTCATTTTTGGGGCGGATATCCGCGGGTATCCGCGCGGATACCCGCCAGGGCCAGCGGGTATCCGCCAGGGGATGCGGATGCGGATGTGGATGTCTGATTTGGCTGAAAACGTGAGGGGATATCCGAATCCGAACGGATATCCGGATGCGCCGGGCCCATCTCTAACCAAGTGGAGAGATCTGTTGTTGAAATCCTCCACTTTTAGGCCATAAATTACTGCCTAGGAGCAATGGGCACTTTTGATGATATGAAAATTTGAGCAAGATAAATTCTGAGAAATTGGGGTTTCAAGCCCTATGGTACTGGCCCTATGTAAAAGATGAATATCAGGAGACTGCTTTTATCAATGTACATCAATATAAGTCTTACCAGATGGTGGAGATTCTGATGCTCTTTTACTCAGCTTGTATCTATCACACACACTGTGTGGCAACATGCAGCTCATCCATCAGTTTTTTTTGTTTTCTTTCTCTCTTTCATTCATATCCATCTGAACGTTGAAATTGGTTACAATTGGATTGATGCATTTTCTTCATCCATAAGTTTTTTTTTGTATAAATTCTTTTGCCCAAACAAAATGAAAATGGACTGTATGGATTTGATCCAGACTTTTTTGAGGTCTGAGATGGATGGAAGTGTCTTCATGATGGCCCATGCTAACTGATTTTCTTCTTCCCCATCAAGTCTCTTTTTCTTCTCTGAGCCACTCTGACTGCCTACTGATGGTCTTCTTTAAAATCAAGCTCTGGAACTGCTCCATGCAGCATGATGAATTTGGAGATAATCCGTGTTGTACATAATGTGTGAATATTTGATGATAGACTTGGATGGTTAGATAAACTGATCATTGTCTGATGAGATCTCAGAACTCTCCAAGGACTACCCATTCAACTTACCCATACTTGAATTGTCAAGAGTCCAAAATCCCAAGACAATGGCTGAGTGACTGAAGACAGTGTGGGTTTTTGTTTTTGTTTTTGAATCTGAAGTGCTTTTACTGTCATTTTACTTTCAAGCAAATGAAGGCCTGTCTTGTGTGTGTTTGTGTTTGTTTTTTTCAAGACAGCTGCTGTGTGTGTGTGTGTTGTCTTGTGACTGCAAGATGATGATGATTGATGTGATGGGACATGTGAAAGGATGAGTGAGTGACAGGGTTGTGTATTGGGTGTTGTTTTTCAACAGTATGCACTGCCATCCCTCCGGCTTGACTACAGCTTGAAAAGATGTGTTGAGATTGGTCGGATTCAGCCAGACAACAGCTCACACTGACACAGCAAAAAACAAACCAAAAAGAAAGTGGAGAAGACTGTAGTATTATACTAGACCCCCATCTCGACCACCGAACACGTTACTGTTGACCACCTCGATTGGTTGCCTAGTCTGCTGGGGACCCTTGACAACAACAACAAACGATCCTTTCGAGAGCCCAGTCAAACGAAACCGAGTGTTGATAAGAGTACCGTAGGGTGGACAGCAGCCCAAGCCAACCCACACTCGGCTAGTCTCAACCCCAACAACATTAAAAAAACCAAGCCCAGAACAGAACCTCACCAAAAACCAAACCAAATCAACCAACCAATAATAACACTCTTAATAGCACACTTCAACCAGCAAGAAAGAACGATCGAATGTACAACCACCACCAAGAACAGAACAACAACATCCCACCCAACTCACTCTTCATGTCAAACCAACCCAACAACAACAAACTAATACAGATCAACAACCCAACCTCAACCCAAGACTCAGCACTCGCACTCCTACTGCCCCTCCTAGTCCTCCTCTCCAGCCTCCTCTTCCTGCTCCTCCTCTTCCTCATCTTCCTCATCGTACTCCGACGACGACGCTCCCACCACCATCCATCCTCAACACGTCGTCATCTGCTCAGACTCGGCGATAACGATGGGCCTCTCGATCTCTCAATACCCGAGGAACCCGAAATCGAAGGTGGCATAGAAGGCCTCGAACGCCGCTGGCTCGAATCTTGCTCTCAAGCCACTCGCAACGGCTATCTACGAGCTAAAAGTCAGTCTTCCAACACCAACAGAGACTTATTATCCCGTAGTAGAAACATTAACCGATTTTCTCTTTTTTTCTTTAGTGTATCAAACTCACCATCGACCCAACTCACTACCCACCGATATCACGCTCTCGCAATTCCTATCGATCCAAGAGAAGGGAGTCTCAGCCTGGGCATTCGAGCCTGACTACGACAGCAACCCATCCCTCCCGATCCTCGTCCAATCGCGCACCGAAATCATCTTCCTCGCCGATGGGGCCGGAATGTCCGAAGAAGAAGGAGGAGGAGTCTGCGTCCAATCTAATCTGCCCCTGCCTAAACTCAACGAGGTCTACTACTTCGAATGCAAGATTTACGACAAACCTGAGGGCAGTGAGGTCGCTATCGGGCTGGCTACGAAACCGTATCCTAGCTTCCGTCTACCCGGTAAGATCTCCTTGCTTATCTCCTCAATAATCAGTTTGCTAATGATCCGTTGGATTCTACTTAACCAAAACAAAGGTTGGAATCGGTTATCGATAGGATACTTCTCGGGCGATGGTTTCAAGTCGCACAACTACCCATTCACCGCCACCTCGTATGGCCCGCCGTTGAAGGAAGGGGATGTCTTAGGGGTTGGTTATCGGCCGCGGACGGGCTCGGTGTTCTTCACGCGGAACGGCAAGAAGCTGGAGGATGCGTATGTGGGGCTGAACCGATTCAACCTGTTTCCGACTATCGGGGCCACCGGGCCGGCCTCGGTGCACGTCAACCTCGGCCAAGCCGGCTTCGTCTTCATCGAGGCTAATGTCAAGAAATGGGGCCTGGCTCCCATGGCCGGAACGCTTGCTCCTCCGCCCGCTTATGGCCACCAGATGGGATCCATCCTCCTCGCCTCCGCTACCCAATCTTCGACTACTAACAACAACAACAACAACGACCAGCAGCAGCAGCAGCTCCTCAACTCCTCTCCCTCCCCCTCCCATTCTCATTCCCAACCCTCCTACGCCGACCTTCAGGGACATTACGACTCCTCCGAGGACAACCTCACCGACCGCTCGTCTATCGAAACCGTCCGCGCGGCATCCCAAAGAAGACGCCGGCGACATCGTCTCATCGGATACTCGACCATCGACACCCAATCCTCCGATCCCCACCTCCCTCATAATCCTGTAAGTTTTTTTTTCTTTTTCTTCATTAGAGATTTTGACTAAGAACGAAGGATCCTTATTTGTCTTTGATGGTTGTTGAATCAGCCCACACCTAGACCGCTCGATATCTCGCTCGAACATCTCTCTAATCCTTCCTCAACCCGTCATCCTCGTCCATCAGTGATCGACCATTCGGACGACCCATCCGACGACGATGACTCCCAACACCATCACCAGCGACAGCAACAACAGGACCAGCAACGGGGCCAGTCTCGACGGCCGTCCCGGTCCTCGAGAGCCGGCTCCTCCTCTAGATCGGATCGACATAGTCTTGCCCAGCCCGATATCTTGCCGCCTCAATACGCACCTATCGATCCTTACAAATGTTCGTCCTTTTGCTCCGTTTTTTTTTTTTTTGGGGGGGGGGGCTTGCATTTACTCTTTTTTTTTTTGGTCGTGTGGATCAGATGCCGCAGGTGTGGCCGAAGTCATGCTCTCGGAACAGTTTCATGGATCATCCAGTCATCATTCGTTTCCTGTTAATAATAGCACGGTCGCTAATCATCCTCATCTTCGATCTAACTCCAGATCTTAATCTTCGCCCTCCTTCCTCTCTCTCTCTCTCTCTCTCTTTCTCTTTCTCTTTCTCTTTCTCGTTTATTATTATTATGTTGTTTTTTTCTTATCTTCCTGTTTGGTCTTTTGGTTTCCTCGGTTCTTTCATTTCATTTCAAAAATCAAAAATCAAAAATCAACAATCAAAAATCAAAGATCAAAAACACATACATACATACATACATACACGTGGCAACAGGACTGATCCGAAGCAAGAAAAAAGAAAAGAAAAAAATACTCAAGAAGAAGAAAGAAGGTCCAGAGAAGCCGTATGTTGATCGATTTTGTCCTGGATCCAACCCAATCAGACACATTTGCCCATGTCTGTCTCTTACTATTAATATATCTATGTTTGTGGTGTGGTGTGTGCTTGGGTGGGGTTGTACATGTATGTAAATCGTATCTATCTTCTCTCCTCTCTCTTATATTGTCGATCGTTGGCTGTCTCTTATCACTTGCTTGCTTGGTATCTTTCTTTCTTTCTTTCTTCCTCTTTCTTTCTTCCTCTTTCTTTCTTTCTTTCTTCCTCTTTCTTTCTTTCTTTCTTCCTCTTTCTTTCTTCCTCTTTCTTTCTTTCTTTCTTTCTTTCTTTCTTTCTTTCTTTCTTTCTTTCTTTCTTTCTTTCTTTCTTCCTCTTTCTTTCTTTCTTTTCTTTCTTCCTTTTCTTTTCTTTTTTTTGGTTACTTGAGGTTCTTTCGGCTCGCTCAAAGTCTCCCTCTCCCTTCCTATTACATATATATTTATGTTCACTTTTTTCCTTTTTTTTTGGTTTATGTATGTCCATTTCCTCTCTCTCTTCCAAGATCAACCTATCTCGTAACTTGATCGGCTTAGTCATTGTCAAATAATAAGTACAAATGAATTCATCTGATGGGTGGCCGACACTTTGAGCATCCGGGCCTTCCATCACACACACATGAAAAAAAAAGTGGGCGGTTGCTTGTTTTTCCATCCACCTACTTTTCCTTACTCCCTTCTTCTTGTTTTTTTTTTTTTGGGGGGGGGGGGGGGGGGTATGTAGATGGGTTCACGGTTTTGCTTTGAACTTCCCTCCCTCCTCCGTTTCTTCTCTTTTCATCCCCTTACATAGCCCTTTTCTTTTCTTTTTTTTTTGTTGCGGGTTGTTATTTACATCCACCGCCTTGTCTCTCAGTCCAGCTGCTTCCTTTCCTATTCTCTTAATTCCACACACACACACACACAATATCTAACCAACAGTTATTGTCCTTTCTGTTCTCTTTCCTTCAAAAACCCACTTAACCCACCAAATAAAAACCCCCCTCTCTCTCTCTCTCTCTGGTTCTTGAATTTTTGCCTCTGCTTTATTTCCAACCAAATAAAAGCCTGTTTTAACAGGCTTTGTATGGATTATTTAGATGCATGAACGAGCTGAGAAAGACCACCACACAAAGAGACGGCTCCGAATCTCTCTCTCTCTTGTGTTCTACAGTGGCACCACCCATGTTTACTGCAGTACACTGTAGTACACCAGCAAAAAAAAGGTTGTTGGTACTTGGGGTCCATCATCACCCATTATTTATCCCATGTAGATATGGGCTTTTTTTATTTAGGGCTGGACTAGCTTCCATTGATCAAAGGGCTCCCACTGCTCCAACAGAGAAAAGATTTTTTGATTTGGGGAGGGGGGGTTGAGATTTTGGAATCCATGGGCTTATACTGAAATGGCCCTACTATAAAGTATGCTTGTTTTTTTTTCATGCACTTAAAAAGAACTTTGATAACCCAACAAGTATTGCTTCTCTCTCACCCAAGAAATATGTGGATCCATTATAACCTATGAGGCCAGACTTCCATGAAATTTTGTTTGCCCTCCAAAGATTTTGGCACCCCATGAAAATCCAAGTAGTACGGTAGGAATAGGATGGGGTGTATGACTGGAGCAGGTTTTCTCGAGATACAACTGTTGGGGCCGGGGGGGACACATGGACTAGATGTGCTTTTAATTTAGTCAAGAAAAAAAAAGGCAATGAAGAGTCAGTGTGAGGAAGGAGCAAACTGAGGTACTTGCAGAACGGTGGCGATCCCTAAATAAATTGTGCAAGATGACGCAAAAATGAAGGGCCCAGGGTCCTGAGAACTAAAATTGGGCTTCTATGCTACGCTGCGCTAAACGGCCCACTAACGTTAGTGTAGCAGCCCTCAAAAAAAGTGCACCAAACCTGTAGTGTTAGCGCACTGTTAGTCCCGCTGCGCTACAGCGCTTTTAGCGGCAAAAACAGCCTAAAAACTGCTAAAAAGCGCTGTAGCGCAGCGTAGTGGGACCTTTTTTGTGGCCCACACCGTCACACGTAGCGTTAGCGCAGTTGTGGCGAAATTCTGCTGCACTACACTTAACGTTAGTGGAATTCTGCTACATTACGCTTTGGGCTGTCAATGGGCTCGGGCGCCCATGGGCTACCCACGCCCCAACAGGTCTCGGGGCAGGTTTGGACAGGAAAGAGTGGAGAATTTCCCAAGTGTGACCCACCAAATTCATGGACCAGGCTTGGACAGGCTTTTCTGGAGGTGGGCCGGCCCACAAAAAGCCCTAGTTTCCCTGAATATCATTAGAATTAACCTAATAATATGTACCCACAGTACATATTATTAGGCCTGAAAGCCCAGAATTGGTACCTGTTGAAATTTCGTCTCTTTCTCTCCTCATCCCTAAAAATCCTTTTTGTTTAGTCTTTTAATTAATAATGATTAAATAGTAGAATTCAAATTATTATACAATTTTTGTTAGTTTCTGCGTGGTATCTTGTCCTGTTGTCTAGTGCTGAAATCATTGTAGTCTTTGAACCCTGGTCTAGTCTTTATATCAATAGTCATTTGCTCCAGTCATCTATTCAAGAATTTGTTGATTTTTGTTATTCATTATGATATTCATTTTTTCTCTCAACCACATGTTTGACCTCTTGTGTGTAGACTATTTAACACATATTCTCCTCTAAGTAAAAAACACATTGGCTCTCTCTCTCTTTTTCCGACCCTCGAGCCTCTCCAACAAAAACTTGTTTTTGTTGCCCAAAAGTTCTCTCTGTCTTTGGTTAAAATTTCATCAGTACCTAGATTATCAAATTTTCTTTATCCATTGTTTAGGCCTCCATGCAATGCCAACTTGACCTCCCATCTCACTCCCTTGAGTGACCAATTGTTGGAGATTGTTACTCAGGTCACAAAACCCATGAGCAAATTCTTGATGGGCAGACCCAAGACCCGTCTCGAGCCCACCTCTCTCCAAGCCGGGGTGGGTTTGGGCAGACTTTTTTAAATTCCGGCCCGCCCGGCCCGCCCCACATTCCCAGGCGGGGCGGGTTTGGGCATGGTTTTTGGGCCCAATCCTGGCCCATTGCCAGCCTGAGTTATGCTACACTAACAGCTACAGTTAGTGTAGAGGCCCACCAGTGTAAGTACCAGACAACGGTGGCTGATGATTGAGGAGAGAAAAGAAAACAGAGTTCCACATTTTTCTTACAATATGAAGCAGTGTGCTTGGCCACTGCAGCATGAGAGGATGATTCTTTGGCCGCACAAAAAAAAAACAGACCACAAATCTTCAAGCTGAAGGGAAGTGATGGAACAAGGAGTGAGTAGGAGCCGCTGGGATCCTGGAAGTACATCAACACAAAGAAGTAAAAAGGGCCTCTATATGTAAGTTGGGGGAAATTTCCTAGTGAATTTGGTGTGGGGGGGTGAGGATGTTTCTGCAGAATTGGTTGACTTGCTTGCTTGCTGCCATGGTTTCCAACTTTCCTGGACACACAAATTGATGCATCTCTGAATTGTCACTTCAAGTGGCCAGGAGTGGTGATTGAGAGGGCACAAAGGGTGGACTACATATGTAGTCCAGTATATCTCATTAGGGGCTTTTTGGAGCCCACAATTCTCCTCCCACTCATGGCTCCCCAGTTCTTTCTGGGACTTGAGTGGCTATTCATCAGGCATGGATGTCCTGGAAAGACGTTGTAAAATATAAGACATACATGTAGATTTGGGAAACCCCAAGATAGTTTTTCAATTTCAGGAAAGACATGTTGTATTAATTAATCCTGTATGTAGTACTCGTATGCCTATACTGAGTTATGCTTATATCAAGCCTACCATTACTACTGAGTTATCGGATCTCTCTTCTCTGACTCTTTCCTCACTGAATCAATATATATTATTCTCACCGTCAAAGTCCCATCGTGAGTCTCGACATCAGTCTCAGTTTCAGTCCCTGCTGTCCCTCAACAAGACACATGCAAGCAGACCAGTTAGAGCGAGGTTTTAGTGGGGAAAATGGCTAAGTACATGCATGTACATAAATATGCAGCAAATGTGCACAGAAAAGGGTGTGGTTGAGGAAGTGTGGGATGCAAAATTAGGAGAATTGACAGAGGAGATCTGTAATGGAAGAAGATGATGGACATATTCTGGGGTTTCAGAATAGAAATCCCAGCTCCCAGGAGCTTTTGCAGGTCCAGAATACCGGAAAAAAAAACACTACCAAAAAACATATCTGGGAGTTCTAGTTTGAAGCCCCCCCCACAAAAAAAAGCAGGTGAGAAGAGGGAAAGGAGACACATTTTAATCATTGGTTTACTTTGAGGTGCATGTATGTCTATGATTCATCAACCATCCCAATAATCTTTGGTTTTGAATGTATGCACCCAAGGATATTCTAGATTGATTGCAATTGGTCTTGAGGAAGTGCAATTAATCCACTAGCTGCTGGGCATTGGAGAAAATGGAGTAGTGCTGCAGTACGCTGTTGTAACCAATGTTGGGTGCAATGGGTGGATCATCACTAGTAATATCAGTCTGGAATGCATTTGAAGCAGATGCCAAATTAGCTTTATTACCACCTATGCAAGTCAAAGGAAAGAAGGCTCCTCTATGGTTCAATAAAGGAATTACAAGTTTGGAAAATAAGGGTGTCTCCACCAAGGGGTATTCAGTGGCTGTCTTTTGAGCTTCCATGGGCCCTCTATGAGGCTGAAGACTAAGTGGAGATTCTCTAAGAATTTACAAGACTATGTTGCAAATAAATCAAAAGAGCAGTATGAAGAATCCTCAAAAAACCTAAAGGTGGAGACTTTCTGCAATCTTGCCCATGGATATCACAGCTTTGTCTTTTCTGGAACCGGTCCCAATATGGAAA